TGTTCCCTGTAAGATGACTCTGGACGTATAACAAACCATAAAAATATTGAATACATAGATTTTTCAATTTTAACCTGCCCAAATTCACTTTCCCTTAGCGTACATCACAAGGAGTCCTGGTGCTAACCAAAAGGTCAGAGGTCGAATTCAGTAGATTTTCAGCCTCAAGAACTCTATGAGGCAAATCGTAGCACACTCAATCTGAATGGAAACCAGCTTAAGGGCAAAGGGTGTAAATCATAATAATCCAAGTGTACTTAAATAATGCACCTCAAATTCTGTATTTGATTGGCTATATGATTATAATAAATATTTTTAATCATTTTTATAAAGACTTTTGGAAAACAAACAGGATTTCCAACAGGTGAAGAGAGTTGAATTATTTGATTTCATGAATTTGAAGCCTCATCTAGTAAACCATGAATGCTGTATCTTGATACTAAACTCACTGCCATCGAGTCAATCAAAACTACTCATAGCCACCCTACATAGGGTTTTTGAGACTGTAAATATTTGTGGGAACAGATAGCCTCATCTTTCTCCTGTAGTGAATTTGATGGGTTCAAACCACTGGCCTTATAGTTAGCATCCAATGCTTACTGGACAGCATCACCAGGGTACCTTTTTGATAATTTAGGAGAATTTTTAAAATTCACTTATTTAATTCTGTCTTAAGACACCTGATCTATTTTTAAGACTATTTAAAGGTGAGTGTTAGAACATTTTATGGAAAAAACATTAAGTATTTTGGGGCTGAGGCAGCAAACTGGCTCTACAGAAAGCACACCAAGGTGTGACAAATGAGGGATCTAAACCCTCAGTAATGTCATAGGAGCTCCTGAGTGGCAAAAATGGTTAATTACTTGACCACTAGTGAAAAACTGACACTGTAAAGTTACCCAACAGCAACTAACAGTACTTTTTTCCCAGAGGTCTCTTAAGTAAGACGGACAAAAGGTTAAATTATGATAAAGTTGCATTAAAACAAAAACTCTTTGCCCTGGAGTCGATTCTGACTCAGCAAAGCTAAAAGACGGAGTAGACCTGCCCCTTTAGAGTTTCTAAGGCTGTGACTCTTTATGAAAGCAGTCAACGTAATCTTCCTTCCAAAAAACATCTGGTAGGTTCAAACCCCAAACACTACTGTATCCCCAGGGTTTGTCTGATAGACACAGACATGTCTCTTACCCAGAAATATCCAATATAATATTCAAAAAAACCTTTGCACACTTTGGGAAAATCTATTATTGATTACCACCTTTGTTAAAAAACATGCAATGCTAGGTTGGAAATCTTGACAGCTCCACATAGTGCTATTTAATCTGTTATAATCCTGAATTAGTCCATTAGTATTCAAAGACTCATGAAAAGAACAGGGTATAATTGATCTTGCAATAAACAAGGAAATATTTATGAATGTGTCTAAATAAAATGGTAACAAAGACAAAAACCATCAATTTAAATATCATGCAAGCTGGGGTTTCTCAATCTTGATACTAATAATAGCTTAATCTGAATAACCTTGTTGTTATCCAAAATTCCAATCAGTGGTTTAAAACAGAGTATTTACTACTGATGAGCAAGTAATTTTGTAAACTAGAGAGAGTATCTGGGAAAATATAGTCAGAATGAAACAACAAGATTGGTAATATAAAAGAAAGCTTACTGAAATGGAGGCAGAAAGCCTAACTTCCAGGGTAAGTCCAAAAGTACTCTACAAAATCATAGACACCTTCATGACATAAAAATATCAAAATGTAAAGCTATTGATTCTCAACATATCCTCTCTTTAAGTCTATACATTTCTAAAACAGTGCTTCCATTTCTCTAACCCTTTCCTGAAGAATTCTGTATCCTGTGAGTCATGGCAAAACAGTACTTTTGGCATCCACAAGGAAGTCAAAGCATGTTCTTTTAAACACTGCTTAAGTTTGGAGACAAAAAGAAATGTGAAGGGGCAAGATCAGAAGCATAGGGTGAGTGGGCACAGGATTCTTAGGACAGATGACCAAGTGCATGGTCACAACGAAAAGCAATTCCTTTTATGCAATTTTCCTCAACTTCTCCCTAGTACGTGAGTGATCATCCTGTGTCCCTAGAGAAAATCTACTGGGATTACTCCTCTGGAGTCCCCCACAAAAACAGTCGCCAAGGGCTCTGAGAAGACCTCGTTGCCTCAAATTGAACTGGCCCAGAAGATCCCTTCAGAGGCCGCTGTTTTTGTTTAAAAGTTTTATTGGCATGTAATTCACGTATCATACAATTTAATCAGTCATAGTAAGCAGAGTTGTGCAGTCATGACCACATTCAATTTTAGAACACTGTCTTCTTGTACTCATTGTTGTTAGCTTCCCATTTCCCCCCAACCTTCCCTGCCATGGCCCTAGGTAACTAATAATCCGGGTACTGTGTTTAGAGATAATGTATCTTGGATTTCACATACAGAAAAATCAAAACACAAATAGGAAGCGAGCGAAGAAAAACCCAACAACATGACTATACAAAACAGAGAGAGACTTCAACAGAGAAGCAGAAAATATTGAAACTGAAAAAGCTTTAAAATAATAAATTATTACATTTTAACCTAACCACATCTGCCATAATTGACTTCACAATGCTCTCTGAGCAAGGCTGTTTACATCCCTGGACTATTCTTAGAGGGTACTGATTCACCAGAGGCTTAATCCATGTGGGGACCCTGCAAATGGATTTTGGGCTTCCACTGGCCTACAGCAAACTGTCTATTCAGAATTTAAGTTTTGATAGTTCCCTCCAGATTTGAAGTTTATTCCTTGCAATCCTTGTATCACAAAGGCTAGTGTGTACTTCTTCCTTCTAGACTTAAATTGATGCCTCACTTAAATGGCTACTGCTTATTTTAAGACAACTTCTTCAAGAGCCCCAAGCACTATTCTTTCTGAGAGCCGGGCATTACCTGGTTTCTTCACCACACTTTGCTATCCCACTCAGATTTCCAGTGATCTCTTCATAGGGCAATGTCATAAAAACTGATAGTCTTTGGGGACAGAGCTAAGGGTGAGCCCCAAATCCATTCATATATCTATGGTTTATGTATGTCTCTGGTTCAGTCATGATAAATCATTATAAAATGACATCATTATATCATTTTATGATAAAGAACATTATAAATCACCCCTCTGGGTAAGGTAGATAAGATAAATCTATTAATTATGTCATTCATTTAGCCAATGGTACATAACTTAAAATGCTGAGAAAAGGCTGGCTTTACAGAGCTTTACAATACATTAATTGTTGACTAAGGTGACTGTACAATAAATACAGACAATGGAGACTGATGATAGGAAAGATTTCAGTAACACTCATTCATTCACAAAGGTAAAACCATGCTTCCCGACTATGCCACCTCATAAAAAGCAAGGAAAGCACTGAAACAGGAACTGTATGGCATGCTTGGTTCACCACTCATGGAGCACCTGCAAAGCAAAAGATCCAAAACAAAGTCTGAAGTCCCTGCTTGGAACGGACCTTTTTGAAAGGCACCGAGTGTGTTACTGAGAGAACCTGTCTACAGTCATCTCCTAAGCAAGACATATGTTTTAAATGGTTTTATTTGGAATAAACCTGCATGTGTATGAGTGAGACTCTAATAGTAATACTTTTGGCTTATCTTCATATAACAATTAAGAAGATCCGAAGATCAGATTAATAGAGTAGGAAAGATAAAATATTAGAAGAGACTATATTAAAAAACAGCCAAGTCATTTCATTAAGGAATGAAGACTATGATAGGTAGATTTATTGTACCAACCTGGACAATAAATACATGTGGGATTAATAAGGTTGCAGTTTAATTGAAGGGCAAGGAAATAAATGGCTCCGCGAGCCTCACCTTTCTGTCTCTTGCTGTCTGATGACTAGGCCAGTGTGCGGCTACCTTAGCTAGTTCTCTGCCTCAACTTGCAAGCTACACTACCTGTGGGACACCCAACCTGTGGACTGTGTCCCTATAGTTTGAGGTTCCATCAAGACCTGCTTTGCCACACTGCTAATGTATACATCACTTTAGCTGGGGAATGTCGGAACCTGTCAGCTGGCTGACTCTTGGTGACCTTCCCTGCTGTTTGCTGCCTCTGGCCAGATGGCCTATATTGCTCTACAGAAGACTCAGCTGTCTGCTTCCTTGATTTGCACCCAGCAGCCCTCGTGAGTTGAACTGAGCCATTTGTACTGCTCTGTGGACTAATTAGCTGTTAATTTCTTATGTTGTATATTTATTTTATCTGTCTAAAATCTTAAGTGTCCTGGTTTTATTTCTCTAGAGAACCCTGTCTAACATAAAGACGTCTATGTAGAGCAACACATATAAAATCCTGCTGGGATCTGTAAATTTGAGTTTTCACTAGAAATAAATCCCTATTTATTTCTTTAAAAAAAAAAAAAAGCCAAGAAAAGGGGGGGGGGGCTGTTAAAAAATATAAACAAAAATTTAAGACTGATGGCTGACTTTTCCGGCGTAAAGAGAAATTCAGAGATAAAGATATTAAATCTTCATTTTTCAACCTAGAACTACATACCCAGCAAAATTATATTTTAAGAACAAGGATGAAATAAAAGTGCTTTCAGAAACATAAGTGTTGAAAAACATGCATGAGTACAAAGGGGAAAGGAAAATATGTAGCTTTAGCTGACGAAACGCTGACTTTATTTACTTAATAGTACATGTAATATCGAATTTATGAACCTCGCTGCTGTGTGACAGTGGCCTACATGACAGGGGAGAGCTGCCTGTAGAGTTTCCAAGGCTGTGGTCTTTACGGAGCTGCTGCTACTTCTTTCTCCCGCTGGTCCACCTTACGGTGAGCAGTCAAAAGCATAAGCACTATGCCACAGGGCTCCTTAATGGACTAGTACCTGGCATATAATAAGCATTTCATATTTGTTTGATGAGTTATACCAAGTGATATAAACTTGTGAATAAGCAGTTACTAAATACTCGATTTTAAAAACATAGCACTTACCTGGTAATATATTTTTATCTGTCTCACCAAAATGGATAGATTATGAATTCTGAGTGATGCATCATTGTTGACCTTTTGATTTACTCTCTGACTTTCCAATTTAGGATTACTGCAAGAAATTTAAAAGAATATATATATTAATATAAAATCACATCAAAAATACTTAAATACTTAAAATGTTCAAAGTTAGATACTGATAATCACTTTAGTACTTTTATCTTGAAACAAATTATGTACTCATCTTCACAAACAGATGACCCAAAAGGATGACCACGGCATACATCTGGGTACCTGGTGCTCCTAACCACGCAGCTGTCAAGTCCACTGCGATTCATGGCAGTGGACTTGACGGCAGCTGCGTGGTTAGGAGCATCAGGTACCCAGTAGAACTGCGCGCCACTGGGTTTTCAGTGGCTGATGGTTGGAAGTAGACTGCCAAGCCTTTCTTCCAAGGTGCCTCTACCTGGACTCAAAACACCAACCTTTCAGCTAGGACCTGAGTGCCTTAACCATTTGCTTCACCCAGGGACTTTAAGGCAGTAGCAAAATAAATCTGAAATTCAAGTAACAAGAGCTTGTTTTTTCCTCTCCATATTCCAGGGATGAAATCTCATTTCTTTTAAATCTGTATTTTCATCACTCAACTTAAATGAATTCGTTTAAGTCAAGAACTTAAAATTTGGACTTATGACCAAATAAATGCTATTTCTTTTTACTGAGTCCAACACAAAACAAGCCATTGCTACTGTGCAGCTTCTGACCCACCGCAACCCTACAGAGCAAGCGACATAAAATAGGCCCACAGGGTTCCCAGGGCTATGCTTCCGTTCAGAAGCATCTTTCCCCTGTGGGTCTGAACTGGCAGCCCTGGGTCCACAGTGAGTGCTCTACCACAGCTCCACCGAGGCCCCTCCTTACTGAGCAGGTAATGAATGCCCGAGGGAAATGAAGTCATGCAATAGGTGGCATGCATTGCTGCTTTTATGTTGCTAAACCTGGCCAAGTCATTGAGAGCAAACAGTGAGAGCACTCTAAGACAAGGTAAACTGAAACAGAAAGGCAGCCAAAAGGTAGAACTGAGTAGACCTGCCCCATAGGATTTCCAAAGCTTCCTCTTTCTCCTACGGAGCAAGCGGTAGGTCTGAGTGCAGCCCAATACATAACCCACTGCCCTATCAGGGCTCCTTTCTCCATGGAGAGAGAGAAAGAAATAGGTACTATTCATTCATACTTATAAGTTCACAGCAATACCTCTGATTTTAAAATGGACTCATTCTTGTTTTTTTCCTTTCCCTGACAGTTTGAAAAATCTTGTTTGCATTGTCCCTACTAGATCACTTATCTGACTAACCCCCTGTGTGAAACCAGTCAATATCACTATGTACCCTCACCAATTTCTCATCCAAGTGGAAGCCATCCTCACCCATCACTGTCCTTCTCTATGTCCGTTCAAGCCAACTGGCCACCCTGGGCCTGCCTGCCTCTATGGCACCCTCTTCACCTGGCTGCCTCGGTTCCTGCAGGGATGCCTTCCTCAGCCTTATCCTCACCTCTACTCCCATCTGATTCGCTCCCTTGTACGTATTAATGTAGTGAATTACACTGTTAAATCTCATGCTGAATTATCTTCAAATCCTGAAGTGTTCACTTCACTGCTTTTAAAATTCACTTTTTCATTAGACTTTAATCCCCTTAGAGCAAGGAGTCTTTTAAATTCCTATCTTTACCTCCAATAACTACCTTATTTACTGGCACAGATGTAATTTGAATAAATATGACTAACTTATCTGGAATAAACACAGTGTTTTAAAATGTTAGTTTTTAATCAGAGGTATGAGATGAAAGTTTCCAAGCCAACAAGTGAGGCCAGCCGAGGCAAATGTCAGCCTACACGGGGAAGTGGGTTTGAGGGAAAAGCACCAAACAAAATGATCTACAAAAGCAAGCGACGACACACTGCAGGGGTCAGAGACATGGTCAGTCTGACCAGGACATCCCACACGTAAATACCAGAACGCGGAAAACAAAGTCTTCTTTTCTATAATCAAGTCTGGCGCACTCTAAACAAAAATCATTTTTGTGATCATGTAATTCACATAACATACATTCAAGTTTAATGATAATAAAAAAGGTTACCTGTTCATTTACCATCACAATCAATTTTAGAACATCTTCCTCTTTCTTGTACTCCGTATTGGTTCATTTCCCCCCAACCTTCCCTGCTATATCCCCCAAGAAATCATTAATCCTGTTACTGTCTCTAGAGATTTACCTATCCTGGATTTCATTAACAGAAAATCATTACCCCAAACCAAAACACCAAATAACAATAACTAAACATAAGAGAAAAAACCTTCATCAAAAAAGAAAGCAGAAAAAGTTCAAAACTAGAATCAATTTAAAACGGGTCAAAAGGGAGCTGGAATGATCTGGTGCATTTTTAGCCAGTAAGAACAAATTCTCATTGAATAAAGTACTACTGATGATAAAAGCTCCATTTGCTGGAGCCACTAATGTAAAAAAAAAAAGCATACCTGTAAATGTAGAACAAATTCAGAATAACCCTGGTTAACAAAAATGTTAGTAATACCTACGATATAACTCCACTATCATTGAGTTGATTCAGACTCATGGGGACCCTCCAGTGGTTCTCAACCTTCCTAATGCCACGACCCTTTCATACTGTTCCTCATGTGTTGTGGTCACCCTCCAACCATAAAATGATTTTCGTTGCTACTTCATCACTGTAATTTTGCTACTGTTATGAATCTGGTGACCCCTGTGAAAGGGTTGAACCCCAAAGGGGTAGTGCCCCACGGGTTGAGAACCGCTGGTATAGACACAAGTATTCCAACAGGAAGCCCAAAGATAGGAAAATAGAACATTTCTGCATCCTTTTATAAAAACCTTGATGCTTCACAGGCCTCTTTGCTATGATGACTTCAGATGGGGGGGGTGGGGGTGTTTCTATGATCTGCTAGGAAATCCAATAAAATAAAGGAGTTCTTAGTAGAACTAGTAATATCTAAGCACTCAAAGCCTCTAGCTTCAGTCTCTAATCTCCACTGCTACTAGTTGTGATTTTCATACACAGAACTGAACATGTCCTGCTTCTGTAGAATCACTAGATAGTGCATCACAGTCCATTATCCCAAGATAACCCTACAGACGCTCAGTATGGACCCAGAGAGCAACAAACTCGCCATTAGAAGGCAGGTTTCCCACTTGAGGCATTCCTAAATCAGTGTCAGGGTCATACTGACATATGTTAGGATCGTGGGGAAAAGGCTTTCACCCCAGGATTAGATTTTGTTATGTGAGATGATCGCCCTCAAGCCAAAGTACTGAAAAGCTTTGAGCTCCATCCTCATGATATTAGAATATTTAAAGGTAAGTTTGATTTTAGATGATGTACAACATCCTGTAACTTCGGGAACAAGAATATGTTTAAAAAAAAAGAAATAAAATACATTGATGGCTCACTACCTGGGTCTGAGGTAACAATGCGATTGTTACAACACAAAATATTTACTATCAATTTAACTAAGCTCATATGGCACACTGCCTGGGTCTGAGGTAGCAATGCTATGGTTACAACACAAAACACGGACATCAATTTAACTAAGCTCATAATAAATAATATTAGGGGGACAAGGCAAGAAACAGAAATGGGAGTATGAAAAAGGCCAAAACATCATCTACTATTATCAAGAAGACAGTGGACGATGTCCACAGGGATCAATACCAAGGTGAGCAAATATGGAGCTGGGTACATGGCTAACAAAGGTAAAGCTTAACTGTGGAGAACAGAGGTGAGGTGTGGGGAAGGATGGGGGCAAAGGATGACTATCTTCCACTGAGAACCTTTTCAGTATTAACAAACCTTTGGAACCTTATAAACATTTCTTAAAGAGGAAAAACACAATAAAGATAATTTGATTTGTGAAGCCTCTCTCAATTTATTCACTAACTTCTAGGGGGAAAGATCGGTAATTGTGTCCGTTTACTTAGCTGAAGTACATTTAACTAGGCTAGACAAGTTAAATTGAATTTTAAGCCAACAAAACATTTGTGAGACTAAGCATAAGTATACCAGAAAATAAAATACAAAAGCCACCTCTGTAAATATGCACTTTTCCCTAAAGACAAAAAGAACTACCACCATCTGTATAATTTCAAGTTTATCGTTTACACAATAAAAGTTATATACAGTAACAAACTGTATAGTATGACTTGCAGAATAATATTTTCCCAATTATAGCCTATTAAGTATTTTCCCTTTCACTCATGTTTGATATTTAAAATGCCTAACCAAAATTAATTCAGAGAAAGACTACAGGAAAGTTATCACAAATTCAGATAGAATCACAATGAATGGACTTTTGATTAAGCTCGTTTGAAAGCATCTTTTTTCCCCCTAAAGCATATACTTTCAGAAGGGTCTTTTACTACAATAAAAATGATCTACTGAATGATACCCATGTGACACATGAAATGTGAGCAGATACCTTTCTAATCATACATAGCTGTTTCCAAGGCAACACAATCTCAAATCAACCATTTCCTTTTATAAGATGAAAACCACACATGCTTTAGTGGCAAATAGCCTAGCAATATAGCTCAAATCTGTCCAGCCAGAAATTAAATGCAGTGTGGCAGTGAAAGATGACCTCAAACAATTTCACATTTATAAATGACCTACTTATGACAAGTCACATTAATTTCAATTACAGTAATAAACAGACAATAGCATTATCTATCATTGCATACAGAACTTTTTAAATTAGAGGAAAAGATTAAGGAAAAGTTAAGCATTTTTGCAACACTGATACTAAAATTTGGTGCTTTTCAATCAGATATGTCTTTACTTATTTATTGACTAAAATCTAGAAACAGAAATCTGATAGTTTTAATGGCGTTCTGCTCTTCTTTCCAGACTGCAAACCTATTGTGTGTCCTTTTGTAGCATCTGTTCAGTGTTACTGCTTAACCACTAACATGTGCTCAGTTTTCATCATGCCGTTCTAATTCAAAAGTAGATGTATAGAGTGTTTTAGTTTTAATTTTTTTTAATTGAG